GGTACCAGATCACTGACCCCTTTAAAAAATGGTCTTTTTGGAAAGTCCTCATTGACCCAGCCCCTGAGCTCCTGCTCCAAACAAGTGACCGTGACGACTTATGATTTTTATACTATTTGTTTGGTTCCCCTGGTCTTTATAGTCTCCCCCCAACCACCCCTCTACCGGCTGTCAGGAGACAGAGGTGGATCCTTACAGGAGCCAGAGTGCAGACACCCCACGGATTGGCTGTAGGGCATATGATCTGAAGTCTGGGGAAGGGAAGATGCCACCAGTGTGTTGGTTACCTCCCTGTTCTAACAGCTCAGAGTCTGGAGCTGCTGGGAGGGTGCTGTCCCCCTGGTGCAGCTGGAAATGGGGGGCTGTTGGGATAAATGTGCCCCCAAACCCCTAGCCTCTAGGGAGTACGGGGCAAGAGGATTCAGCTATCCCTTGTGCTTCTCACTGCTGAGTCTTGGAGGAAAGGGTTTGAGGGGAAGGATTGCCTTGTGGTTGAAATACTGGCTTGAGTGGGAATTCCTGGCTGCACCAGGGACTCCCGTGTGATCTCATGGAAGTCTGTTAAGTTCTGTGTCTCAGCCCAGGGGTAATCCTACTGACCTGCTGCCTGGGGCCTCATGCGGCTCCACTCCAGAGGTTTGTGAAATGGGTTGAGTTGAGCTGGCAGTGCTCCATAAAGGAGGAGGATGATAGCCTCTGACCCATTGTAAAGGTGGGGAAGGATCTGCATCTCCATTGGTACAGCCAGGGAAATTGAGCCGCCGGGGTGGCGGGGGGGAGGTGTTAATGGCCTGTTTCTTGGTGGTGCTGAGATCCCTGCAGCTTCCTATTGAGTGGGATGAGGGCTAGCTCAGCGCCTCGGAGACACGGAACCGGAGTGGCTTGCCCAAACATCACACAGGGAACCAGCGGCAGAGGTAGGAACAGAACCCAGGTCTCCTGACTCCCAGCCCAGTGCCCTGGCCACATGCTGCCCCCTGCTGTTCATCATTTGTTTTCTCTTCAGCTATAACTGCAGTTCCTGTGCTGACTTCAGTATTCAGGGGGTTCTGCGGGAGGAGGGGAAAGGGAGGATTTTGAGAGCCTCTCTCTGCTGACCTGATGTGAAACCAAGCAAACGACCAGACTCTGGAGTAAGTCACTCTGGGCTTGGGCTTGCAACCCTGACTCTCACGTGAGTCAGCCTTACTCATTCCAGGAGCCCTCCTGAATTCAGTGGGACTACTCAAGTGAGAAAGGGACTACTACTCGCATGGGTAGAATTGGAAAATTGGCATCCAGTACAAGTTATCAATCAATGAACAGGGAGTTTGGGCCACAGGCGTTGGATTGGGGCCCCTCTTCAGTTCTGCGTTCCTCCAAGGTCATTAGTTACCCCTGTGGTTCAGAGCTTTAGGAATTCCATATGTTGTAAAGAAACGGAGCGGGGGGAGGGGAGGGGGGTTACGAGAGCTGCCTTGAAACAAGGGTATCCCTTTCCTTCATACCAGCGCATGCACTGTCCATGCATCTCTGTCTTAATCATTGCTCTGCTTAACAGGAAGGAATGTGTGATCCCTGCAGCACTGCACAGCTTTGACCATAAGTGTTTTTGTGGGGTGGGGTGGGGTGGGGTGAATATACTTAAGCGCTGTCATAGTATTAACCAGGAGGACTATTTTGTCTTCCCTCCACAGCCTGGAAGTGTCTCCTAAGGTAGAAACCAGCTCAGATGCACCTTCTCACTTTTCCCCTTGCTCCCCTGTCCAGTGTCCTCCTGCTGGTACAGTCCATCCTGCTCGCATGCAAAGCACTAACCTTTTAACTGCTACTGAAGAAAGCCAGTTTGGATGCCTGTCCCCTACCAACCCATTCCTCCACTCCCTGCACAGCAACCCTTTCTTTGAGGACCTCCTTGCTGACCAGGTACTAAACTCTCCTTCCCCTACTCACTTTTTCTCTAGTTTCCACTCTGGGTCGCAAGCTACCAAAGAGGTCGTTGGGCACCTTTATTCCTCTGAGGATTACAGTCCCTCTGCCTCCATAGGACTTAACAAACCACAGCAGGAGTCTTCAACCCAAAGCGCTGGCGCCCCTATTCCAGAAGCCACTCCCACACCCCAAGGACTCCGCCCTCCTCGAGAACAGACTCCTGTTGCTCCTCCCGTCTGTGACTGGGATGACACCTTTGATGCCTTTGCAACGAGTAGACTCAAACCAGAAATTGGGGAGGAAAGCCTTTTGGCTTCTGTAGTTATGGAGGGCCTGGCCTACGTCGATGATCCGAGTCCAACAGAAAGCCCAGCTGAACTGGCTCAGGAAAACAAGACTGAGATAGCGAAGACTGAGCCACAAGCTATTGATGAAGTGTCTCTAGGCCCAGGGTCCTGGGCAGATGTAACGCTCTTAAAAGGAATGGAGGCAAACTTACTGAAGACCGCGCAGGAAGCTACGCTGAGAGAAGATGGTGTGTTGGGTCATTTGCCTTTAAGCTCTCTGTTGGAGAGTGAGAAAACTAGCACCTCTCCACCTTGGTCAGCCTGGTCTGCAGTGGGAGCTTCGGGGAAGGAGGAGGATGTAGCAGCATTGACTACTCAAAATAGTGCCAGAGCGAAATGGGCCCCAGAAACGGTGCACGTAGAAAAACCGACTGTAGCATACAATGAGGAGGAGCCCAGTAGTGCAGGGGAAGATGAATGGACAACCACAGGCACAGAAACAATTGGCGGCCTATCGGAAAGCGACCGAACCGTCGCCGAGAAGGAACACGAGGTTGAAGAGAGCCGGTTCAGGCCGTGTTCACCTTCCGATGACGGCATCTTTGAAGAGGAAAGCAGCCCTGTGAGTGCCCCAGGCTTATTGACCAAAAGCAATTTAGTCTTGGAGAAACCCAGTGAGGCACTTCCTGGGAATAACGCTGTCCTACCATCATTGGTGTCAAAAGTGGAAGCAGCGGAGAAGCCGTCAGCTGTAGTCGACGTCAGTGATGGTCAGGATTCTAGTAACACAGAGGGGATGATTGATATAAAGCCACTCGGAGGTGGGCTTCAGATATGTGCACAACTGGAGGCAGATGAAGCCAGCATGAAACTAGGTTCTGACTTTCACGAGACACACGTCCCCTCCGCTGTATGGACTGAGACCCCAGAGAGAGAGGATCAGAACAGCGAGGCAGCTGGTTTGGAGATGACCATGGGGGCACCGCCGCCAAAGCCTCGGAGATGGTTCACACCCGGGGATTTCAGAGAGGAAGGTGATGAGGCCAATTTGGAGACGCAGAGGAGCCAGCAAGACAACGAATCTCAGCGTGAAAATGAGGAGGGCCCAGAGGTGGAAATTGACCCGCAATATACCCATGTAAGCCGAGAGAACGGTTCCCCAGTGGCTGCCAGCCCACCTGCGTTGAGAGCAGCGATAATTGAAGCAAAAGCGAGGTCTGTCCCTTCGGTCGCTGGAGATGCTGATTCCGCCACAGAGGACTGGGTGGCTAATTTGAAGGCAAAAGCTAATGAGTTCGCAGAACGGGACGCCTCTTCTGGGGAAAACCTGCTAGAGATAAATGAGGAGACTGGAGCTGAGCAGTTCGAGACTTGCCCTTCGAAATTCTCACTAGACAGATTAGGCCTGTCAGATGCTGAAGACGACGCAAACAAATTGGAAACGGTAAAGCCAGGCTTCCCTCCCCAGTCACAAGAGCTCACCGAGCGACGCTCCGGCGCCGGGTGGGGCTTGTCGGAGACTGCACCGGCGTTCCCAGAGAGGAACGAGATACTCCCTGAGCAGCTGATTCCTTCAAAGCCCGATACTCCTAGAGATCCGGAATCCAGCCGATCGCTGCCGTTCTGCATGGCTGTGGAGGAGCAGTGGCCAGCTACTCACTACCCGAGCCCCAGCCCAGCTAGCCAGCTTGAAAGGTCAGATCTGCAAGAGCATCCCTCGCAGCCAAGGCCTAAATCGGGGCAGGGAGCTAACCAGGGCCATCCTAGCAAAACACCAGCCCAGCCAGCTGAACGGGAGCCTCAAGCCCCCGAAGCGTTAGTGAGCCCGACCAGGGCGTCGGAGCAGGGTAGTGATTCAGCTGACAGGCCCGAGCCATTGTCGAGTCAGCGGTTTAGCTGGTCAGCAGATCGAGTGATAGACTTCAAAAAGGCTGACTTCTGGAGGCCAGTGAGCGGGGAGGAGGGCAGAGAGCAGGATGATATTTCAACCCTGGGCAACCCTTTCACCCCCCAGAGTCAGCCCCTCTTCCCCAAACAATCCCTTTGTGGAAAAGCCACCAGACGTGCTCCCGATTCGGGCCCCGTCACCCGAAAGGCCTGGTCAGGGAGGCTTAAACTTCAAAGACCTTCATGAGGAAGCTGCTCCACATGGTTTCCAGCCTGCTAACCTCCCAGGGAACCAGCTAGTTGGGCTTCCTCTCTTGCATGGCAACCAGCCCTTGGCCTTCTCCACACCTTCCCTTGTGGCTGCGACTAACCCCCAGCAGTTCAATTTCCCTTCCCCCATCGTGTGCCCTACAACTGGTGGGGTGCCTGCGGTGACCAGCCGGGCAGCAGCCCAGTCCTCCTGCCCTTTGCTGCAGACCGGTGGCATGAAAGTCTCAACGCTCACGGTTTTGCCCAAGGAGACACAGCCGGCTGAGAAGCCCTCTTTCCATCAGACAAGCAGGTGAGCACTCCGGGGGAGGCGAAGGGTGTGTCCTTGAGGGGAAAATAGCCCCCTTCCTCCCTTCCACTGTTGGGCCTTTAGGTAGCACCTGCAGATAGGGCGTCCGTTGGCCAAAGTTGTCAAGTAATTCATGCAGCAAAGGAAACTGCCTAACCCTGCCGTTGTTCTCCCGCCCCGTCCCCCAGATCTTTACCCGCTTCCAGACTGAAGCGTGCTAATCCCATTTTCAAATAAAACCCTGTAGGCCCCCGAGAGTTCCATTGGATTGGCTTAAATCCTCAGCTCTATCGGACCGGAATTGGGAGTCTCCGTGGCCGTCCTGGGCTTGCTCAGAGCTCGTGGTGCAAATGTTCCCCAGATTTGCCCCGGTTGAAAATTGAGCCCCCGCAGAACTGTGAAGGCTGTTGGCGCTCAATGTATTGCACTAACTTCAGCTCCCCACAAACTTTCCCTTGCCCTCCATGCACTGCTCTTGCAAAATATGTACCTTCTTATATGTGTCCGGCAAGGGGGAGTCCCCAAACTTCTGCCCATTAACGCTCTCATGAAACGCTTCATGGCATGTTGGCAGCTGTTTCTTCCTCATTCATTCAGCTTTGGTTTCTTTTTCTTTTTTATTTTTTGTAGTGGCCTTCAGGTACTAAAATTCTCTTCTCTCCATAGCTAAAGCATAACTGCAGCTGAGACCAGCCTCTTCTGAGGAATCCTGGTGATAGACAGGCGAACAGACTTTGGCCCTGAAATATTTGGGGGTGTGGGGAGTATCGAGAGAAGGTTTAGTCCAGTCCTAACCACTGGTCAGAGTTTTGTAACGTGTAGAGACCGAGGGAAATTCTGGAGGTAGAGGTGTGTTCTGTGACTGATCCTGTTTTCCTGGCACACCTTTGTGCGGCCTGACTGGGAGAAGAAGGGAACGTTATAGGGATCTGTGTCTACTCATAGCACATCAATTCTGCTCCCAGGTTTGAGGTGCCTATTGATTTCAGAGTGAACTGTGAGGACCCATCTGAGAGCTGTCTTAGGCCCTGATGGATCGTCTTTACTTTTGCTACACCCGGGAAAACATAATTCTAAGGGGCTAGTAGGGATTTCAACAGCCTGAGAATCCCTTTCCAGCTCATGATGGGGTGAGGTAGAATTCCCTTTTCCTTTTAGGCCCTGTACTGTAGTCCTTTCACATGCAAAGCTCTCCTTGACTTCAGTGGGAGGTCTGCATGCTAAATGACCTCACAATCAGTCCATTATTTTTCCATTTAATGGCTCCACGTTGGCCAGAGCCTTGGATCGTGCTATCTTTAACTGAATTATTCATCCTCTAACAGGTAAACCGGCTCAAAACCTGCAGGTAAAAAAATCATTGTGTACAGATAAGTGCTACTGTACTTCATGGAAAGAGATGTGTCCTGCAAATCCAATGCTAGGCAACAGGCAGTGTGTGGTCCAGACTCTTTGTGTACAATACACGCTGATTGGTTAGTCACCATCTTCAAACTGACTGTATAAGACAGTCCAGGGCAGGTCTCATCTGTGGGAAGAAGGATGGGTTTCTGGTTGAGGCCCAGGACTGGGATCCGGGAGATCTGGATTCTGTTCTCATCTCTACCACCGATTCCTTCAATAGTGTGAAGCTGGGCAAGTCACTTAACCTCCAGATGCTTCAGTTTCTCCATCTGTAAAATGGGATACTTGCCTCATGGAGCTGTTGTGAGGCTTAACTCATTAATATTTGTAAAGTTCTTTGAGCTCCCCAGGTGAACGAGGCTGTAGAAGGACACATGACGTGACAAAGGAGGATCTTCAAATCTAGAGCAGGAGTGAAAGATTTATTTGGGAAACAAGTGACACATCCAGCAAATAGAGAAACATAGGGCTGGTGCCTGGGGCGGCTGTTCCGGGGAGGGCTGGGGGGCAGAGGGGGGCTGGAAATCATCGAGGAAGGGCTGGCTCTGGTGGAAAGAACTTTTCACCAGATTTCTGCTCTCAGGCAGCGTGGCGACTTGTGTACTGCCCCACGGATAGACGGAGCAGGTCTCAGCCAGTCACAGCTGGAGTGGTGTCAGTAGGAATGGAAGAGA